CTGTTAATGAACTGTTGATTAAACATCGGAGTTGTTGACCTACTTGCTTGTTGCCATTGATAGTTATTTTGGTTAATATTATTATGTGTATTATTAAACGGTCTCTGATTCCTTATTTGAAACGAATTGTTTGGTGAATTAAACGAACTACTTGGCATGCTATTAGGTGCGGGTGTACTTAGTGCTCTATTATAATTTGGGGGCCTTGAATTATTAAAATTTTGTGTTGTTAATCTCGACAAACTATTTGACTGATTTCTGAAAGTATTATTGCGTTGATTATTCTTAAATTCATAGACAGTTTGGAAGTTTTGCTCTTCCAAAACGACTTTCAATGCGTCTTCCAGAGTGCTAACGTTTCGTATGCGTACAAGTCTAACCAAATAAGCAGGTAAGTTGTATAAGAATACGTTCAAGGTAGAATGATCATAAATGTGCTGTTTGGCTTGACGTAAACTATCATCTCCTATTGTTTCATTAATTTTTGAAAATAAAACACTTCTTATATGTTGTAATCTATGGCAAAAATCTAAATAACTTTCGCCCCTTTGTATCTTAGTGGATTCTAGCTCCATAGCGATACATTCCTCGGTACGCGGATCACCGAAATGTTGTCCTAATAGTTGTTTTAATTCCTCCCAATTATGTATTGTATCCCTTTCTCCGACTAAGCTAGCGGCTTCGCCTGATAATCTACTCGTTATAACATGAAATAAATATTCATTTTGTGACTGACTTCCTTGGAAGGAACGTAAAATATACTCGCATTTTTTAATAAAAAGTGGTAATAGTCTGGAGTACCCATCAAAGACAGGTATTATTTTAACAAGTTCCTGCGGGACTCTGTTAATGTTATCCATTTTATTTGATAATTTATAGTCACAAAAATATAATTTAAAAAAATTGCTACTAAATCCGTGATTACTATAACGTCTTTAACTAATCCCTAATTAACACGACACATATATTTATTATGGGAACACATAAAGGAAAGTTTCAGGATAGTGAAAAAGATCTACTCACAGTTCTGCAACTACTCCCATGTTATGGAATAGGTACTGCTGGTCTTCCAACTTACTCCTTCAGTTGTTTCCTCAACGAATTTATTTGTTGGCGACTCCAATTTAACCGTAGAGACGGACGTGAGATTATTTGCGGCTATACCGAGATTTTATCGAAAAGCGCAGAGATCCCACGATTGGAATCCTACCGGCTGCGCCAGTTAAGTTACTACAACTGGTTAAAATAAAAAATATATTTATTTGGACAGAGTAACAGTCTAGACTTAGCTAATACAATATTCAATTAATAATTAGTTACATTCGATTATATACTAAATTAAGTGTTTACGTTGCATCTTCGTATTTGACGTTGGACCTAGATATTGGCCTGGCGTTGCTGGTTCGTAGTGCTGACGAAGCTGAGTTGGATAGGTGTGCCGTCCTTAACTCACGCCTATATATATATTTCTGGAAAGTTGCATGTAGATCATTTTTCGAAAAAAATAAGGCCATAAAGAAGTTTCACTTCTTACGTGTGTACACTAGTACACGCACACATTTTTATTTTTTTAATAATCTTTTAAAAATCTAATGAAATACAATTAGGACCTAACCATAATATATATTAATGATGCTATGGAAGAGTAGTTCCTTCTGGTACAGGTGTTAAACACTTGATAGAAGGAACCCACCCTGGTGTGGTGTACAACTGATGCAGTATCGTGTTTTTAGTTTTTTTGACAAAAGGAGATTGCTCAGCTTCCATACATGTTTGGCTTAAGACATATTTTAGATTTTTAGTGTATTAATAATAATGTGTTTATGGAGGTGTTTGGCGAAAAATGTATGGCAATAGACTTTATGATGTCTCCTACCATCTATAATAATTGTCTTAGCACATTTGCATATAGTAAAATGATAATATACTTTGGATATTAATACCAAAGTGTAATAAAAAAAAAAGGTTTCATTTTATCTATCTTTACAAAATAGATTTGTTTTGATGTTATATAAACAACTTCGATCAGCTTTTGGCTGAATGTTACTGCATCCATAGCCATTAAAAATGATTCGTATGTTTTCCAAACCGGTAAAATTAAAAGTCCTTTTTAAAATGAATATAATATACAAAGGTGTCCGTTAAAATCTAATGACTGTAAAATAAAGTATAAATTACGCCAAGAATAGGGATGATGACTAATTTTTTTTCTTCGTTTATCAGGTAGATTATCAAAAAGTATTGGACACGTATTTTTTATTTTTTCACATAATATAAACATTGCAGAGATATATTGATTTGAAAAGTCGCATGACGTCACGAGCCCCTACTCCCAAACTTCGACGCGCTATAACTTTGTCATTTTTTGGTTGATTGCCCAAAGAAAAAATACGTGTCCATTATTTTTTGATCATCTAACTGACGGACTAAATAGAATTTCGTTTACTGTACCCCGTCATCATCCCTATTACCGTACTTTTTCGTGCATTTGGGCCAATTTAAGCAATCTCCTTTAAACAGACATCTCTTAGATACGCTAACAGGCGGTTTATCAGGAACTCGTTACTCACTTTATACTGCTTGTCGGTGCGGTGCGACTGCTTGTGTTGGGCCAGAAGATAGGCGGCGTGGAACTTGTGTCCGCATGTCTCGCACACGAAAGGTTTCTCGCCGCGGTGACGACGCTCGTGGTCCTTAATATTCAACAAGTAAACCTAAATTTAGCGTTTAAGTACCGCTTGCAGTAAATTAGCATTTTACTTGCATTAAACTCTCGATTCATTTAAAATTCAATATCTTAAATCTAAAGTTAGCAAGGCCGGCTTGCAGTAAATTTGCTAAATGTCGATTCAACTAAAATTTCAAAATCAATATACATAGTTTATTCAGTCTAGGCTGTTACAAGCACTAGTGAATGTCTAGAAGCTACGCCATCGGTTCGCAAATCTACGGCGGGAGACCTTGTACTGAGAAGAACCGGCAAGAAACTTTTTTCTCCCTGTATTACATACATAGTCGTCAAATTGAAAAAAGACTTCAATATGAGATAACTCATGAAGTCACTTTCCATTACAAATGTAAATGATATAACAATTATAACTACAAAATAAAAAACCTCATAAAAAAACTAATTTAACAAAGTTTAGGAATGTTTGTAAAACTGGAGGTAGCCCAGAGAAATGACAAAATGTCAATGACAGTTTGACACAATAGGGGTGATGACTGGGTACAGCAAACGAAATTCTATTTAGTCCGTCAGTTAGATGATCAAAAAATAATGGACACGTATTTTTTCTTTGGGCAATCAACCAAAAAATGACAAAGTTATAGCGCGTCAAAGTTTGGGAGTAGGGGCTCGTGACGTCACTTTTGAGTGAATTTTCACTTATAAGTGTACTCAAACGTGACGTCATGCGACTTTTCAAATCAATATATCTCTGCAATGTTTATATTATGTGAAAAAACAAAAAATACGTGTCCAATACTTTTTGATAATCTACCTGATAAACGAAGAAAAAAAAAGTCATCATCCCTATTGTATGGGTGAGTTTTTGGCGGGATTTCATCAAGTGCGGTTGGCGTCTTATTTTAATTATTCTTAAATTTGTTCATAGGATATTGTGAAATAAAATTGGTGTGATTTTGTGTTACAAGTTACAACCGTCTGCGCAACTGAAGAATTAGTGGAATCTTTTAAATATACGCTATTCCGGTCAAGTGGACGTGAGAACTTTATTGTAATATTGACTAACTCACAGAAGCTTATCGAAAAAGTCAACTCGATATATTTCGTACCAAACACTCCAAGAAGCATTAGAATGCGTCACACCCACATTGTAATGTAAAAAAAAGGAAGATTAATACAAAAATAAGACGATGGCTGCATGGCTATGCCTTTGCCTTTCTCAATAGAGAAGAATAGAACTAAAAAAAAACAATTGTATGGTACGGATGTGAATGATGAAACCACCTGTAGTTAAGATATTAATGTCTCATCATTACCATCATCATTATCAGCCTATTAATGTCCCCACTGCTGGGGCACAGGCCTTCCCTTTGAATGGAATAGGGAGATTGGGCCATGATCCACCACGCGGGTCCAGTGCGGATTGGCGGGTGCCAACGACTGCAGATGCAGCCGGGACCAACGGCTTAACGTGCCTTCCGAAGCACGGAGGAACTCGAGATAGTAAATTTTTGGTCACCCATCCAGTGACCGACCACTGCGAAAGTTGCTTAACTTCAACGATCGCAGCCGAACGCGCTAACAACCTGCGCCATCGAGCTCCTCAATATTAATGTCTAGTTACATCTAATATAAATAACACTTTAAGTATTAATACTGTATGACACAGCAATCAAAATGCAGGTGAACAATTAATGTACATTTTCACATTATGTGATGGAAGGTGACTTCATGAATCACCTTTGAAGTCATTTTTCAACTTGACGACTCTGTAAATAATAAAACAGGGAGATAAAAACAGCCCTTGCCGAGTTTCTTGCCGGTTCTTCTCAGTACAAGGTCTCCCGCCATAGATTTACGAACCGTTTGTGTAGCTTCTAGACATTCATGAGTGCTTGTAACAGCCTAAACTGAATAAATGATTTTGATTATGATTAATCTATCTATATATATAAAACTCAAAGGTGACTGACTGACATAGTGATCTATCAACGCACAGCCCAAACCACTGGACGGATCGGGCTGAAATTTGGCATGCAGGTAGATGTTATGACGTAGGCATCCGCTAAGAAAGGATTTTGATCAATTCTACCCCCAAGGGGATAAAATAGGGAATGAAAGTTTGTATGATGAAACTTTGTCAATTTGAAACCGATTGGGCTGGGACTTTGCATGCAGGTATAAGAAGAATCATAGATGAATGTCATTGTGTAATACAAGCTTGAGAACAAAAACTGTAGTCTACACTTCAGCTCTACACCGAAGCGAAGCGAGGGCGGGCCGCTAGTGTTTAATAAAACCGATAAATACTCACTCTTATGGCCATCGCGGACGCGCTCTGGAAAGCACAGTACGTACAGTTGAACTTCTCGTAGCCGTGCTTGGCGCGGTAATGTTCATTCAGACGATACTTATTCCCCATTCGTTTTCCACAGTGCTGCAATATAATAATAATCATCTATACATATAATAAAATGGTAGGAAAGTCAAAACTGTAGTCACCTGTGAAAACCTGAGAAACAATAAACTAAGGCTGCGCTAACAGGCCCCTATCAAATTTGTCTAGGAAGGGCGGGCCACTCGAGCAGTGCACTGTAAGCGTTGATGCGTTGAACAAAACCTAAACCTAGGTCGCAAGTCCCGGGAACTGCTCAAAGTTTCTCTCTCTCCCACACTCCCGGCATCTCTTCGCATTATAGGCAACAACTGCTGCGCTGCCTTGCAGCTTAAGAATGGCTAGAAGAATTTCGACGCGGTCCGTGAGGGCCGCGGTAGCATAATTGGTCAATGCATTCGCCCGGATTGCGAAGGGTGCGGGTTCGAGTCCCGTCTGCTGCCTGGTCCGCGTGGATTTTTTTTTCTAGTTATATTTTCTTTAGATTTAAATATCAAGCAGTTACATGCTTTTAAAAATAATAAAAATTATAGATAAATGTTATTTAAAAAACTTTAAGCGCACTGGTACGAGTCGTACGATTGTTACTTGTCATGTTACGCTAGTGAAACGAAGACAAATGTCATAGAAATACAGCGTTTACACAGATACCGAGCATGCTTGTAGTATTTGCGGTTTTTAATGTTATGGTTGTTTACTCCAAAAAACTTCGTAAAATACATGGTTTCCATTATACCACACTTATTTGTTAAGTACGAAAAGAATCGTCATGTTCGAATGTTTTCTCTGTCTATGTTGCGAATGGATATTTGACAAATTATTGTTTTTATGTAAAATATAAAAATGTCTTCATTTTTAATAAAAAAAACTCCAATGTAAACCGAAGTTCTCAAAAAATATGGTATTGTAGTCAGAAATTTAGGTTCGATTTCTTCGAATTACATAAGTTTTTTTGGTAATAAATATTGGTTATCGTTTGGTAATCTGACAGGAACTAGGGACTTTGTATTTGATCTGAGGGAGGCCTCTGTCGATCGCGAGGCCCTGTGCACTTGCCCAAAGTGCCCACTGGGAAAGAGGGGTCTTAGTATAAGTATTAAATAGCTCACCTCGCAGACGGGCCCCAGTCCTGCGTGTTTGATAAGCTTGTGCATCCTGAGGCTGGCTTTTTGCATCTGCTTGTTGCAAACATCGCATTCGACCAACACTCGCGCCTACAACAAACCGTACATCTATATACTTATATATAAAACTCAAAGATGACTGACTGACAGACATAGTGATCTATCAACGCATAGCCCAAATCACTGGACGGATCGGGCTCAAATTTGACATGCAGGTAGATGTTATGACGTAGGCATCCGCTAAGAAAGGATTTTGATCAATTCTGCCCCCAAGGGGATAACATAGGGAATGAAGGTTTGTATGAAACTTTGTCAATTTTAAACTGATAGGGCTGAGACTTTGCATGCAGGTATAAGAAGAATCATAGATGAATGTCATTGTGTATAATACAAGCCTGAGAACAAAAACTGTAGTCTACATTTCAGCTCTACACCGAAGCGAAGCGAGGGCGGGATCATAAATTCGAAAGTTTGTAATTATGTTTATTACTCATTTCACGCTAAAACAGCTAAACGGATTCGGATGAAATTGGGCATGTTTAGTAGTTTATCGAGGAGGTCGATGGCGCAGGTGGTCAGCGCGTTCGGCTGCGATCGTTGAAGTTAAGCAACTTTCGCAGTGGTCGGTCATTGGATGGGTGACAAAAAATCTTCTATCTAGAGTTCCTCCGTGAATTGGAAGGCACGTTAAGCCGCTGTTTCCGGCTGCATCTGCAGGCGTTAGCACCCGCCAATCCGCACTGGGCCCGCGGTGGATCATGGCCCAATCTCCCTATTCCATCCATAGGGAAGGCCTGTGCCCCAGCATCAGGGAAATTAATAGGCTGATGATGATGATGATGGTGATTAGTGTATCACCTAGGTAGGCACATACAATACTTTTTATATCTTTATCCTTTCATATAATAAATAATTACAGACAACAAACTATAGCTTTAAAACGCCGTTCTCAAACCCATATGGACCTATGGAATTCAGTTGTGGGATATCCTTCAACAGATTTCAAATGCCCGATGTCTTATTCGAAACTCTGACAGCATCAACATCTTCTCATCAACACTGTCAAGGAAGAAATTACGTACGTACTTGACGAATATAAAAGTAGATAGAAGACATCACCCGAATACACTGGCCAAACATTGGACTTTGCCAGATACTGTAAGATGTTTGAAAAGGCGCAAATTACCGAACACGGAGCTTCGGCTATTTTATAGGAGTTATATATAAATAAATAAATATTTTCAACACGTACACCAATTAGCCTAGCCCCAAAGCACTATATGGCTTGTGTTATGGGATGGGACTAGGGTAACGGATAGAATACATATACTTTATATATATATAAGTATATTTATATAGAAATACAAATTAAACATGCATGACTGGAGTACAAATGCTAGTGTTCATCACATAAACATCTGCCCTGCCGCCATGAAACCCGGCGTACAAACCACTCGGCCGCGGAGGTCGTCAAAGTGTTAGTTAGATGCTCAATGGAGCACTAGACTTTGCATGTTATCTGTAATAAATCAATCTGCTCATAGGCGAGAAGACTGATCGCATGATAAATAAAAAAATAAAAAGAAGTCTTACACACACCAATTAGCCTACCCACGGAGTAAGCACTGTAGGCTTGTGTTATGGGATACTAGGGTAACGGATAGAATACATATACTACAAGAACATTTTATCTTGTCTTGTAAATAAATCATAAAATAAGTATTTTCCGACCAAAATGTCCAGACTTTTATACAAAGTCCAGTGCCCTATGCAGGGCCGTCTTTAACCTATTGGAGGCCCTGGGCATATGAGGATAATGGGGCTTCTATAACTTTGATGTGGATTATGACTTGAAATGGAGCGAGTTATATAAAAGCTAGTAAGTTGGTATTGTAGTCAGTAATTTAGGTTGGATTTCATCCGAATTATATAAGTTTTTTGGTAATAAATATTGGTTATCGTTTGATGATCTGACAGGAACTAGGGACTTTGTATTTGATCTGAGGGGGGCCCCTATCGATCGCGGGGCCCTGGGCACTTGCCCAAAGTGCCCACTGGGAAAGAGGGGTCTGACCTTCCTAGACAAGCCCTAAAACAAATCGTGGGTATACTCACGGGTCACGGCTATTTCAACAAACACCTTTGTATTATAGGTATTTCTGACAGCCCTCTGTGCTGAGCCTGCCTGGAGGACGAGGAGACGAGCGCCCATGTGCTGCTGGAGTGCAGGGGCGTTGCAAGACACAGAAGTTTCTGTTTTCTATAAAAGTCTGGACATTTTGGTATGATGTACCGATTTCTATATTCAGATCTTACCGATTCCCCTCCGGTTCTCCGCCTTTTCTTCTTCATAGTACAAACTGTGACATGTTCGATTAACACTTCCTTGCTGTTAAAGTCCAGCTTGCAATACTGAAAGAGAGAATATTTTTGGATTGAAACTTCTTTAGGCACGCTTGATTTGGGGGGTAAACTGGCGAATGCGTCTTTTGCGTGACGCGCATAACGATGCCGGTGGCCCATCGGTAAACAATGAACAATACCCGTCACATAATACATGAATCTAGTGCTTGGTGGGTGATAACGGACCCAGCGCGGATTGTTGGATGATAACGGACGCAGCGCGGATTGGAGGGTGACAATGGATCCAACGTGGATTGGTGGGTGATAACGGACCCAGCGTGGATTGGTGGATGATAACGGACCCAGCGCGGATTGGAGGGTGATAACGGACCCAGTGCGGATTGGTGGGTGATTACGGACCCTGCGCGGATTGGAGGAAGATTACGGACTAGGCGCGGGTTGGTGGGTGATAACGGACCCAGCGCGGATTGGAGGGTGATAACGGACCCAGTGCGGATTGGTGGGTGATAACGGACCCAGCGCGGATTGGTGGGTGATATTAGACCCAGTACGGATTGATGGGTGAAAACGAACCCAGCGCGGATTAGAGGGTGACAATGGACCCAGTGCGGATTAGTGGGTAATAACGGACCCAGTGCGGATTGGTGGGTGAAAACGGACCCAGCGAGGATTGGTGGGTGATAACGGACCCAGCGCGAATTGGAGGGTGAAAACGAACCCAGCGCGGATTAGAGGGTGACAATGGACCCAGTGCGGATAAGTGGGTAATAACGGACCCAGTGCGGATTGGTGGGTGAAAACGGACCCAGCGCGGATTGGTGGGTGATAACGGACCCAGCGCGGATTGGAGGGTGACAATGGACCCAGTGCGGATTAATGGGTAATAACGGACCCAGTGCGGATTGATGGATGTTAATGGATCCAGTGCGGATTGATGGGTGATAACGGACCCAGTGCGGATTGGAGGGTGATAATGGACTCTGGTGGTTTTTTTTCAAGCAAAAAATCTTTTTCAGATCATTGGAGCTAAAGAAGTTTCACTTCAGTCGTGTGGTCATAAGCACACTCGCTTTTTTTTCTATTAAACAGCCGTGGTAAAAATATTTGAGAAAAATTTTAGTCCCTAATGAAAATGATTATGGCTATTAGAAAAGAATAAAATGAATGTAATGTGTATTGTGTATGTAAAATATATAACTTACACCACATCTAAAACACTCGGATCCGTGCATCATAGCTTTATGTCGATTCAGTTTCTCTTTCAAAACAAAGTTATTGCACAATTCGCATTTCACTTTCCTCACATCTGCACCAGGGTGGCTCCGTGACATGTGTGCGTCGATGCTTCTAATCGACAAGTTTTTCTGACACAACTTGCATGAGACCCTCTGCCGTATAGCATTGGCATCGAAGACTTCATAATACGGTAACTCTGCATCGTTGTTAGCAAGAATTTTATATTCATCTTTCTTTCTAACTTTTGCTTTGGTAATTTTTAACTTTTCTACTGGTGCCACATTCTGAGTTACAACTAGAGGATCGAATACTTTGACGAGTTTATCATCTTGAGTGTTTTCTACTTCTTCATCAGAACAATGTAGTTTGCTACCAACAGTTTGGCTTCTAGCCCTCTTTCTTACTTTTATTTTGGTCGTTTCTGCTTCTTTTAACGAACAATCGAGTGTTTTGAGAGACGTTTCTTTATCACTGTCTAGTGCACTATTAACTTTATCAAAACATACAGATTCTTCATTTAGAGGTTTGCTATACACATCGATATTAAGTTCAGTCTTAACCTTATTTATGTCTAGATACGTATCAACATTATTAGTTTCACAACTGTCTATTTTCTCTGAAGCGTTTTCACAATTCGAGTTTTTCAAGTTTATCAGACGTATTTGGATGTGGTTACATTGCTTTCTGAATATCATGGAAGTGTTCACAAATGAGACGCAATCTGTGCACATATTTTGTGGCAGACCATCATTGTCGTTGACCTGAAATTCGTATATCATATTTATAAACTTTTATTTTTACAAAGGGTCATTTATTTATTTTTCAGTTACATAATGGTATTTTATAATGTATATTTTAAAGTATTTTTTTTTGTACTTTCCATGCTGAATAAATATTAGAATAAAAAAAAAATAACTAATAATATTTTATTTAAGCCAAATAACACAAAAAAATATTTTAAAAGTATTTGACATGGATATCAAATCTATTTTTAGTCAAATTACAAGTTTAAATATTAATTAATTACCTTCACGCCAGTAGCTACATAAATATCGTCTGAATAGTTTCTGTAATTTCCAGTGTTTATAAATATTGGATGAAGATTCTTCGCACTAAGACAGGTTCGACACACCATTGAGAAATCCATGATTATGAATTTTCATAGCTAAAATAGGTGGAATCATGCACTGCGTACATTTATTATCAACTTCAATCAGCAGAATAAAATAAAACTGAAACACCCAAAAACTATTTCGAATTCGGCTAGGAATTTTTTGCGCAAATTATCCACAGATCACGGTAAATAAAAAAATAAATAACTTCCTTCCCACAGATTAGGGATGGAGGTTATAAGTATACCACAGTATACACACACAATATTTCGTAGTACGTCCATGGTAGTAACAGTTGTCTATTCAATAAAATGAGCTAAGTAAAAAATATAAAACAGAGGCCTCTTCTCCCTATCTGAAAGGATGACAAAATATTTTATTTTTAGAAAGCAAATTATTGAGAGCGTACGCAGCTTTAAGCGGGCGGGAAGCACAAGGCGGACGTCCACTCCCCGTGCAGTTTTTATGTCATTACATAGATCAGCGCGGCGCGAGAGACTCGCCTCACACAGCGCTACTATATGAAATAATTATAAAACAAACACGCAGAGTAAACGCCCGCTCTATGCTCCTGTTTATTTTTATAGTATTTTTTTTTATATAAAATCTCTCTTCTGTCTACTAATTTTAAAAGGTTGGGGCTTTTAAAATAGTGTTGGCAAACCTGTCTTGACATACGAACACGCACGAATGAGGGTAGGGGATGAAGACGGGGAGGGAAATGTTAGATTCTATAATATTGTTCCTTGACTTTGGCCACAAAATTGGCCTAATTTTTTACTATAAAGATTTCTTACCGTGAACGTTAATGTCGAAAAAGTTATCGAATAATCCTGCTGGTTGGCATGGCAATAGCGAAAATTAATGTTATTCACCTATCCGTTCTGGCCTAATCAAAGTTGTGCATAATTATCAGTAAATCAATAATAGATTGGGTATCTATGTCTTCAAATTCTCTCCATTTTTCTTTAAACTATACTGGCTTAATAACTTTGTATCCATTCTTAATAAAAAAAATTGTATGGCTTTTGTTCTCTGCCTTCTTAGGTAAGAGAGAATATTAAAAGCAACAAAAAACTGACTTTGACATTTGTGATTGACAGAATCGTTCACGTGTTTGTGTTTTGGTTTGAATTGTAGCGATTGGATTTTTTATTTAATACAAATATTAATTATTAAGGAATAATGACGCTTACAGAAGACAGAGAAATTGATATTTTTGTTGGTACTAAAATAGGATCATTCAAACGTAAGTCTTTCAATGTAATATTCTTGAAAACTTAAACATGCAGGTTTCGTGTAACATAAATTTCGTTTTACTTTATTTTGTGATCATAATAAATTTCATTTCGTGTAGCAATAGTAAGTCTAAACTTAAACAAAGATTCTAGTGTGCCTGCCAGTTCTGTTCTGCCTAAAAACCAAATTCATCAAAAGATTTTTAAAAACTAATTGCAAAGTACAGCAAATATATCTTTATTTAATGCTTACGTTCATAAAACATTTTGTAATGAAATTGAAATAATAAAGCTGTGCATTAAATACTTACCATAAAATTCTATAGAAAAACATTGTTTTATGGCCAAAGTAAATATCCCAGTTAATACTATTGCATAAATGTCTATTTACAGTCATCAGTCTCATGTAAACATCTTTTCGTAATGTTCTTATTGTATGTAATTATTGTATCTATTTCATAAATTAGATTGAATTGGTAATTTGTTGAACAGTATAGCAACAAAGAATAAAATCTTCTTCACAGTTTTAAGATTGAACTTGTTAATTTTCAGACATAAAGTACCACACAGATCTTACTAAGAACAATAAGAAGTTTATAGAGAATTTAGTGGACATCAAGTCACTGCAGAAAGATGATGGTGTCACATGCATGGCTTGGGGTAACCCAGGACAGACGGAAATATTGCTAGCAAAGAAAAATCAACAAGTAGGTATTTTATTTAGCCATTGGCATATTTACTGTAGGAGGAGTTCAATGGATGACTGCAGGTGGTTACTGTGTACGGCCTGTGATCGCTTCTCTAAACTTAAAACTATATTTAGCACCAGTCTTTCCTTTTCACTCCGTAAAGAGAATGACAAGGATACACTGTTATCAAAATAAATTTTAATGTCCCTACTGTTCGGGCACAGGCCTTCCCTATGGGTGGAATAGGGAGAATGGGTCATGACCCAACACGCTGGCCCAGTGCGGATTGGAAGCTAATGATTGCAAATGCAACCAGGCCCAACAGCTTAACATGCCTTCCGAAGTATGGAGGAACTGGACATAGAAGGTCTTTGGTCACCCATCCAATAACCAACCACTGTGCTTGCTTAACTTCAACAATTGCAACGAATGCACTAACCACCTGAACACAAATAAATTATACATATAAAAATTGATGATAATTATATGTGAATTAATTTGATGTTAATTGATTGTTTATTGTTTAGTTTTAATGGGTAATATAGGTTGCTCTTGTCCGAAATAAATATTTTTTATTATCTGATATAATTTTAACCCACATTTAGATACAAGCTTATGACACCCTATTAGGGTTCACCAAATCATACACAGCGGACTTTGGCTCCGGCCATGTGGTTGGTTTGGGACGTTGTAAGAGGAGACTGGTGGCTGCGTTGTCCAGCGGTGTGGTGAAGATATGGAGCAAGAAGCAGGAGGATGTGCTGCAAGTCGGCAAGCTGGACTGTATGAGGCTGTGTGCAGAAGAAACTTCTTTGTTTGCTACAGGTATTTATGCATTTAACAATGACAAATGCCAAAATTTACGTAAGGTTCATACATTTTATGTCTAAATTGAAATTTCACAGGGAAAAGTTGAGAGCTTCGATTGTATTTAAGCCTAAATACGGTATTAACAGCATGGAAGTCTTAAGGAATATATGCTTGTATGTACACACACACACACACACATATTTTAACTGCTTAAGTACAATCTGACATAAGAATCACGCATACATTTATTAGGATTGCTCTATCCAGGCATCCATAAATAATCAAAGCGTAAACTGTTAAATCCAATATTATTTGAGTAGGTTCTTTCTTCAATTCACCATGGGCTTAATAAGGTTTCTAACTGGTGTAACGTGTTAAAAACGTCACATGGATCTCCTTCGCTCGAAGAGCGAGATAGAAGATTTTTTTTGGTTGTCTCTCTGGTCGTTTTTTATCTCGCGCCCATTTTCTTTAATCTGTGCACTTTTGGGTAAGTGTGTTTCTGCCTTTATCAAGCAGTAGGCTGAATGGACATTGTTCTCTTTGCCTACCGCCAAGACAAACTAAGAAAAGAACTGTCACTTCACTTCACGACGAAAACTTAGACACAAAAGATGGTCTAATGTTAATCTAAATTTTTATCATGATAATCCATTGGATTTTCAATTGTTTTTAATGGTAAGTGTTTTTCCAAATTCGAAAAGTGTTTTAATTCATATATTTCAATAATTTACATAAGAATTGATGTTTTTTTACAGACATAATATTTCACACTGTTTGCGCGGAATGGAGCCGATCTTATTCCAAGCTTAATTTAATTAAAAAACGGTAAGACTCTTAGAGTTTTCCTTAGTTTTACTTATTTTCCTTTGTTGTGAGCCATGTGCTAATCTGAGGAATATTTATTTTCAGCTAAAAGCGTTTTTTTATATATTTGAAATTTTATTTGGAAATCGAATTCAAATCACGATGTTTCCCGTGAGGTGGAGGTGAACCCACGGGACCTAAAAACGGCCATCTCCTACTACATACTTGTGAAACCAGACATAATTTAACTACAAAGATGCAACAAAGTCAGTAATATTCAAATTTATAATTGTGTTTCGGCCCCCATATAAAAGGTAACATTTTCACTTACAGTCTTAGTTTAGTCTTAGTTTCAAAATTTAGCAGTAATTCTTTCGGTCCAGTAGTTTTGTACTAAATTTTAATATATAGACAACCCAAAATGAGAATGGATTTGCATTAAACTCCTCTTGCGATTAAAAGTTCATTGCTTTCCCGGCTAATATGGTTTAATAATATGGTATGGGTCTGGCGCCCGAGTATTCTTTTTTTCATTAATTTCGACCTATCCATTTAGTAAATTTCTCTCAAACTTTTTATTTTTTTAATATTACACTGGTTAGTTTTTAAAGCCAAACATCTTTGTGTACGGGGTGTAAATGATAAAATCCTATATAAGTGCGTCAACAGTGTGTGTGTGTGTATGGGAAGCGTGCGTAGCTCTTCCCGACGAGCATAAAAGTTTAATGGTAATCGCGCGACCGCGATGCACGGAATAGTACCTTAACAGTATCTATACATGATACAAGGTGATGATACGATTATACGAATACGGATACATTTAGTGATGGCATAATGAATCTGTACTTACTGAGACAATCCTGTGTGGACTGCACATTTATTGAAGTGAAACTTCTTTATCGGCGTTGGAAAAAAATTTACCGTCACATTTTTCGGTTATGCGTCACATTTTTCCGTTACGCGCCATCTTTTTTTATATTAATAGTTGATAGCTGAATGATCACACTGTCGCCGGCGAGAACTCTCTCTACTCGTTTGTAGCTGAGTGACAATAGTTATTTAAGATAAGACTCGCTCAGCCAAACTCGCATAGCGATACTCGCTCAGCGGTACTCGCTCAGCGATACTCGCTCAGCGGTACTCGCTCAGCGATACTCGCTCAGCGATACTCGCCCAGCGATACTCGCCCAGCGATACTCGCCCAGCGATACTCGCTCAGCGATACTAGCTCAGCGATACTCGCTCAGCTATACTCGCTCGGTTAAGCTGGCTTGGCTGTCAAAAGCCGTGCGCGTGCATTTTAACTCAGGACTGCCAATTCGTTTCTAGTTTCTACTCGCTTATCGTTCATCGTCGGAGGTGGAACATGTGCCTTAGATTACTGAGCCGTGTAATCATAACAGTTTCATAGGCAGTAATTTGTATTCATGTCTATGATAATAAAATCCTTTTGTTTAAACTTTATCTAATTTAACTTTATTAAACCAATTTCTGGAAAGTTGCATGTAGATCATTTTTCGAAAAATAAGGCCATAAAGAAGTTTCACTTCTTACGTGTGTACACTAGTACACGCACACATTTTTTTTATTTTCTGATAATATTTTTGGTTTGTGTACATGACACTATATTTTTTTCTTTTTATTTCTTCATTAAGGTGGCGAAGAGAATGACCTCAAAGTGTGGCGTATAGGCGAACCAGAGCCAATATTTTCAGCCAAAAACTTACCCCATGACTGGCTGCAGTTGCGCCGCCCTGTCTGGGTAAATTCCCTCACGTTTCTCCCCGGAGATGGGAGTCTTTTGGCCGCCTGCTCCAGACATGGATGTGTGAGGTATGTATTAATCATCATCAGCCTATTAATGTGCCCACTGCTGGGGCACAGGACTTCCCTATGGATGAAATAAGGAGATTGGGCCATGACCCAGAGACGGGCTCAGTGTTGAAATAATACTTAGACGTCTCAGTATAATAGCCGAAAATAGCCCTTTCTGAATGCTTATTTGCAAATAAATCATGAATTTTACGAATTGGTAAGCGCGTTCAGCTACGATCGTTGAAGTAAAGCAACTTTCGCAGTGTTCGGTCATTGGATGGGTGACCAAAAATCTTTGATCTAGAGTTTCTCCGTGCTTCGGGAGGCACGTTAAGCTGTTGGTCCCGGCTGCATCTACGTCGTTAGCACCCGCTAATCTGCACTGGGCCCGCGATATGGGTCATGGCCCAATCTCCCTATTCCATCCATAGGGATAGGGAAGACCTGTGCCCAGCAGTGGAGACATTAATAGGCTGATGATGATGATGAATGCAGTTTAGTTTGTATAAACTGCACAATTACAGCCATTACAAAGAAAAAATAAAGGTAATATTACCATAACCTTTAAGGACACTTGTTGTAAATAATAATAAATATTTTCAACACACACACCAATTAGCCTAGCCCCAAAGTAAGCACTGTAAGGCTTGCGTTATGGGATACTAGGGTAACGGATAGAATACATATACAGTACATGTATAAGTATATTTATATAGAAATTCATATTAAACATCCACGACTGGAGTACCAATCAATGATAGTATTCATCACACAAACATTTGCCCCCAACGGGATTCGAACCCGGGACCTCTCGAGTAGGTGACACCTGGAAACCCGGCGTACACACCACTCGGCCACGGAGGTCGTCAAATGAAATCAAGAAATATTTATTGATCGTAGGTTGTACGACACTCGGGCGCAGCGAAGGCCCGTTATCAACGTAGAGTTTACGATGGCCGCTACCTGTATCACGCCCAGTTTCGATGACAGGTAAGAGACTTAGATTAAAATAAAATTAAGGTAAAAAAACCTTTTTAAAAACAAGCTTTTATTTAAATGCGCTAAAAAGAAAAAAAAGTGACGTCACAATTTTTTCGAGTTACTTTCAGCAAGTCCTTTAATTTGATACCCATATTGTAGGAATGCATTAAAAATGATTGGTCCGCCATTCTGGGTATGCCGCCATGTTGGATTTAGAATGACGTCACACTGTTAATCATGCATTGTCATCCAAACTGAACGTGCATACCAAATTTCAGCTCAATCGGTTGAGGGCAAGTGTCTTAAAATTGAGTTGTAAGATTTCACCCGAACAAACATACATTGCAAGTTAAATAAAAGCTTGTAACAAAAAGGGTAGATACGGTACGCTCATACTAGCATCAAATAAAATATGATCCGACTCAACTACATAAGCAACTCTCTCACACGCACACGTCTGTATATAAACATTCAATCGAGCGAGCGAGACAGAACTGTACGCTTCAACGCAGCGCGAGCGAAACGGCGACTCCGCTACCGAGTCCGCACGACTGAGCTGTATTGTTGTCCTTTTCTTGATAACAAAATGGCGATTACGTAAATAACATTCAGGACAAACTGTGATTTTTGAGAAAAAAAAATATTTTTACAGTTTTACGAATGAAAAGTGTTACCGAGGCATTTTTTATTTGATTTTAAACTACGTGTTTTTTATAAAAGCAATGAAGGCATTGCTTTATCTTTATAACACAGAATATACGCAATATTGTTATATTGAGTGCACGTGCAGCGTGTTTGAATGTCCAATTGTGACTAAAGCGAATTGTGGTCATGCACCACAATTTAAGCGGATCACTTTTGAGCCGCGAGTGCCGTATCTGTCTATTTTGCTTTAATCTGAGGTAAGAGATTGTATTTGTTAATTACTTACTTATGCATAATGACATAGGAAAATCAAAATTGCTTAAACACCACTTAAGTAACTTAACTTTTTTACTTTAACTTTGATTGGCATTTTATTCTATAATTGACATTATTAATCGACTATCTTATTTTAGCTTTTTAATAATTTAGATTGACAAAAATCAAGACTAAACTGATAGTTGTAATTTTGCTGACGATAATATAAGGTAATTCGCTTTTTGTAGTATTTTAAGAATTGTTATTGGTATGTAAAATTGATAGATTAATGATTATTAATAATATTAATATACTATTAATGCAATGTTAAATATTTGCAACACGGAACCGTCGTATCTCTTATCTATTAGACAAGTCCGTCCGTCCGTCTGTCTGTGGTGCTGTTTCAGCGGCCAAACCGTAAGAGATAGATAAAGAGAATGTTTAAGTTACAAGTTAAGAATAGTCTGATAAGACTACAAACCGGATTTGAGTAACGTAGCACTTCCGGTTTTCGAGAAATCACGAATTTCAAACGAAACCACACAATATCTCCGAAGTTCTCAATTTTTTTTTTTTTTTTTTAATTGGTGAACATTTGGTTCACTGGTTTGCTAGTTTTACTTAAGAGAGAGATGGCGAGTCATGGTATCTCAAAGCGCTGTCGCACGCGCCGAACACAAAGCGCCGACATAGGCGCTAAGCTCTTTGATTGGCGAGAAATTTCTATTGTCCGTCCGAATAGGTAATGGTATGTGGAGGAACCCTTCGTGCGCGAGACCGCCTCGCACTTGGCCGGTTTTCTTTTTAGTTTAATACACGCTATAGAAGGAGCTCGATGGCGCAAGTGGTTAGCGCGTTCGGCTGCGATCGTTGATCTTAAGCAACTTTCGCAGTGGTCGGTCATTGGATGGGTGACCAAAAATTACTATCTCGAGCTCCTCCGTGCTTCGGAAGGCACGTAAAGCCGTTGGTCCCGGCTGCATCTGCAGTCGTTAACACCTACCAATCCGCACTGGGCCCGCGTGGGGGGTCATGGCCCAATCTCCCTATTCCATCCATAGGGAAGGCCTGTGCCCCAGCAGTGGGGACATTAATAGGCTGATGATGATGATGATGATGATGACACGCTATACCAGGTACAGGTACGTACCTGGGCGTTTCTCCCCGTCAAAAATTCAAAATTCAATATCATTTATTCAGTCTAGGCTGTTACAAGCACTTGTGAATGTCGAAAAGCTACACAAACGGTTCGCAAATCTACGGCGGGAGACCTTGTACTGAGAAGAACCGGCAAGAAACTCAGCAAGGGCTGTTTTTTTCTCCCTGTATTATATACAGAGTCGTCAATTTGAAAAATGAGTTCAATATGAGATAACCCATGAAGTCACTTTCCATTACAAATGTAAATGATAAAACAATTATGACTATAAAATAAAAAATATAAAAAACAGATTTAAAAATGAAAAAAAGTTTAGGAATGCCGTCCTCCACGACAAGGGCTAACTAAAAAGCAAAAGAGAAGAGTAGCAATCCCTGTGTCAAACGTGTTACTCCGGCTGCATCACAAAATCAGATTTGCGACGAAGAGGGCTTCATCAAGGTGGAATGGAAGAAGAAGCCCGCTCGCCGCAATTTGTGTGGTGTTGCCGACGACGACGCCGCTATACGTGTCCCGACTGCATTACTCTACGAAGGAAGAGGAGATCGTGGAGTACCAGCGGATAAAGACCAAGTTCTCCCTGAGAGTCGTACGGTTGGAGTCCCGTCACAATGTGAATTTTAATTCATTTGTGGTGAGGGTGCCGACTGAACATCTGGCGACTTTCATGAAGGAGGATCTTTGGCCGAAAGGTGTAGTGTTAGGCTTGTTGAAAATATATCGATGTATCGATATTTTTTGTTCGATATATCGATATTTTTTGCCGATATTTTTTGATTCGATATATCGATACATCGATACAAAATAACCAATATCGAAATTCGTATCAAAAACGATATATTTTTAATTATTAGCGGCATATCACGATCTAACTAAATTCGTATCTGGAAAAATCGTAACTGGATCTCAGATGAATGATATTCAACATATCTATGATCTGTGCTGTATTTAGTATTGTCTATGTCATCATTGGAAAAAAGGGTCAGTCTATTTTTAGGGAGATAATTTTCGTTCCATTATTATTCCGCGTGTCATATTTCCTGAGCTGCTGTACGATATTTTTGGGAAAATTGGTCCGATATATCGATGTTTTTTTCGCGATATATCGAAGCCGATATTGATATTTTTTATAATATCGATATATCGATATTTTTTTCAACTTTCGACATCCCTATGTAGTGTTCCGGCGGTTCCGAGGTCGGTTACCTGACACCACTTCGCGTCACACGTCGCCATCTATACGTGTTAGTTAAGTGTTTTTTCATCCCACCACCTCGGAAAGTGTAATTTTGCGCTTCGAAATCTGGCTGGAAAATTCTATTTTATTCGCTTGAGCGGCAAAGTAGATTTGAATTTAGAACATCACATATAATGAGTACTCAATATAATTGTAAATTCAAAACGTCATTAAACCTATTTAATGTAACCTCTATGGTGCCAAATTTATGATTAGAACTTTTTAAATTGTGAAAAAATTTAAATTTGGAACCTTCTTGGTTTCTTTGTTTTATTTGCGTGCTTCGCGCCATTCTAGTTTTTCACGTTTTATTGCTTAAATATTTTGTCATTATAAATTGTTTTCTTTTTCATTTTGTCATTTCCTCGCTGAGGTGGGATGAAAAGTTACGTATTGCACTCGAGTGGAAAGATTTTTCACCTTGTGCTCGTTTGTTTCCCTCGCTGACGCTCAGGATTCTAATTTAGAATCACTCGCTGCGCTCGTGATTCAACTTTAGAATCCTTCGCTTGCTCGGTCATCCAAATCGAGCACGCGGTTAAAAAGGAGCTTTCCACTCTTGTATAATAAATAACTATTATATCCGTATATATGTTAGACTATAAGGTATTTATCTATGGGCCTATGTAGCCTGATTATAAATAAATAAATAATCAAAATATTCAATTAAAATCGCTACTGAATATAATTTATTAGAACATAATGTGATTTGCACTTGTATGAAACTCAAACACGTATTCCGAATATACAAACTAGAAACATGTGGATAAATATCATAAATATGAATACCTATAACTGTTACTTTATTACAAAAAATAAAGATGTGGTTTTTGGTTCTACTACACCAATGGTCAAGAGATGGCGCTGTAGTCTCCTGAATCGCGCTTTGGTTCCGTTGTTCCAGATTAATAAATACTTTTGATAGGCCTTCACAATGCAGTCGTTAGCACCCACAAAATAGAGATTCTATTTCTATTTTGTTGGTAGATTTTCTTAATGTGCGGTAAACACAAAAGTAACGCATGAAGTTGGTCGTTAAAGCGACCAACTTCATGCTGTTAAAATATTGTGTTACAGTGATGCGCGCGCATCTTAAAATTTCACTCTCATCATTTTTTCATAACGCGCCTAAAGAAGTATAACTTCAATAAAAAATAAAAAAAAATAAAGCCGAGGTCCGGGTCTCAGAGACGCCCTCTAGTTGAGCCGACCCCCTCAGGTCTAGAGGCTCCAGACGGAGAGGAGACTCCCCCAGTGGGGAGATGCCATCCGCCTGGAATACCTCTAGAGGTACTCGCCAATTCTCGGCTCGAGGTCCCCTTAGGATCTCGCCGTCCCCAAACCCGGTGACGCTGTAAAGGTCATCTGCGACCAACAGCATACACACTCAAAATAAAAAATTTAGTTTCATTTATTATTCATAACATTTCGTTCCTTTGTGTTAATTGAATCTTTAAAATAATAAGTTAATTCAATGTAACACATAATTGTCTGCCTCATATTTTTTCCAATGAATTAAGTTAAAACTTTTCCATTTCCATCAGACAAGTTTTGGTCGGTTTTGGCCGCGGCCAAATGCATCAAGTCGATCTGCGCAATTCCCGCCCCGACAAGGGGTACAAAGGTTGCACGGGAGCTGTCACAGATATAACCATCGTACGGGATGCTAGACTTGTAGTCAGTACAAGTCTAGACAGGCAGATACGCGTGCACAAGTATGAGACCAAGGAATTGTTGTATAAGGTAAGTGTCCCACCGTTGGTAAGAAAGCGACTAACTATAGACTATTTAAAAGTAAAATAAATATACTTATGTTTTTATTTATTTTGAGGCATTTAACTGCTAGATGTTTAAATCTAAAGAAAAATTTACTAGAAAAAAATATCCACGCGGACCAGGCAGCGGACGGGACTCGAACCCGCACCCTTCGCAATCCGGGCGAATGCACTGACCATTATGCTACCACGGCCCTATTCGCCGCGTTGAAATTTTCCTAGCCTTAAGCTGCAGCGCCATTTCTTCGCATTGTAGGTAACCCACAATGTCAGATGAATACTTTTTCAAGTATTAAACATTTGAATGAAGAAATAGCAATTATAGTTATGTTTTTATTTATTTTTAAGCATTTAACTGCTAGATGTTTAAATCTAAAGAAAAGTTTACTAGAAAAAAAAATCCACGCGGACCAGGCAGCGGACGGGACTCGAACCCGCACCCTTCGTAATCCGGGCGAATGCTATTTATATTTTTTTTTTCTAGTAAACTTTTCTTTAACATAAATATACGTTCCGTGTAAACAAAATAGATGCAAATATTAATAGTTGAACGCTGACTGTTCGCACTGCGGGCGAGAACTCGCTCCATTAGTTTGTCGCTGAGCGACAAGAGCCATCAAAAATAAAATTAGACTTCCCTTAAAGTCTCGATCTTCGCATCTCAGTTGGTTCTCCGCGTTGCCCCAAAATGCCTTGTTCCATACTCCATTTGCTCAGTCAAAGCTGCGCAGTCATTATGTCTTCGTCTTTCGACCATGTAGTTTTGTCTTTGCGCCTGTCAGTTGATATATTTTATGGCAGCATTTCAGAATTTAGGAAGGAGGTACTGCGGTGTTTTTAGTCTATGAAATAAAATAGCACAGCAATTTTAATAATTCAAATTATGTAGGTAATATAATGTATTCCAATTAAATTCAATAGGGTATTTGACAAGTTTTAGAAAACGATCTCACGTTATTTACTAATGTTTATAGAGTCCATAAAAAGTGGATATTCATCATTATGTTGTGTATTTCGGTAAAAAAAACTAAATCAAAAACTCTATTTTCAAGTTGCCGCGAAAAACGTTTCTCTGGACAATATGGCGTCTCACTAGCGTGTGACGTCACACGACTGTCATTAAAACGTCAAACCATACAATCTAATGTCACTTTAACCGAAAGTTTACTTGCATGTGACGTCATTTTAGGCTCCACCAATTCCAAGCGTTTTGGGTCACGTGACAAAAGACAAGAAAACTATTTTCTTTATCGTGGGTTTTTAGTAAAATTATGAATATTTTTTCCGTAAAATAGTAAACACTCCTTCCAATATTCATTCTAAATACAGATGCTAACAATTGGCACTTTAATTTTAATACTGTCAAATACCCTATTGATGTGAAGTAGCTAGCTTTGGTATATATGTGAAAATTAAATTTAGTTTTAATTTTAACTATGTTTTGATAAATTAAGATGAATTAATGTCATTAAAGAAAAATCATGTTGTTGTGTCCTTAAATATAATGTATCTTGCTAGTTCTTGCATTCTTCTTGCTTTGCTCTCGGCCCGCATGGTGGGTCACGGCCCACACTCCCTATTACATCCATATGGAAGGCCTGTGTCCCAGATGTGGGGCATTAATAGGCTGATGATGATGATGAAATATAACTTCAATCACTATATTTACTTTATAGTTGGATGAATTAATATTTTTTCTTTTTTCAGCAATACCTTACTTCCAAACTGACCTGCGTACTGGTGCAGACAGAAACATCCACTCCTCTAAAGAAAGAAGCAGAAGTAAAAGAAGAGAGCGAGTTGAGAGAAGAGAAGCACACGGAAGAAGCGGCAGAAGTTGAGGAAGACGATATGGATAAGTTGTTCGATGATATGGAGACTGTTGGGTGAGCAATGATTTTATTCTGATGACTTTGATTGTATTAAGTCAAAGTCAATGCTGTTAACCACAAAGTACATTTTTAGACGATAACAGAATATAAACAAATTACCGTTATCCCCATCAAATTCTTATATCTTTCCGATCGACTTTGTTTCTATACCGTAAGAGTATCTTACAACTACAACACACGCGTTAATATTGAATAACCTTGGCGCCAATAATGGATAATAGCAGAAATAAAAGAAGGCGTACGTTCTGTACAAATTATAATGCGTGACAAACTATTGACATTTTATATCGAAGTACTAAGCTGCTTAGATATACTCAAATATACCCACTAGATACTTAACAGTGACCTTCTTATATAAAAAAGAATCGGTAGTAGAACGTACGTCAACAGTGAATTTAAATAATAAAATAAAATTGACATTGCGTTGTGTACACGAAGAAGAATTTATCTATTTATTGTTTATATATATTTATATAGATATATATATATTTTATATTGGTTGTTTACTTGTTAACACAACAATTATAAGTGTTGACGTTATTCATAATTATGATATAACAAGTATAATTTTAAGAATTGAATTTTAACTCATAATATTACATATCAAATGTAATTAAATTAGATTGAAATTATTCAATTAAACCCGGGTTCGAATCCCGGTGGGGGCAGATGTTTGTGTGATGAATACGAGCATTAGTACTCCAGTCATGGATGTTTAATATGTATTTATATAAATATACTTATATATGTACAGTATATGTATTCTATCCGTTACCCTTGCATCCCATAACACAAGCCTTATAGTGCTTAATTTGGGGCTAGGCTAATTGGTGTGAGTGTCGATAATGTTTATTATTATTATTATAGATTTTTAGTTGTATAAAAATTGTAACTCTTAACACACTCTTTAAATGTATTCGAGCGCAACGCGCGAGCTAAATGCTTTTCGTCTAGAGTGTTAAGGTACTAATTACGAAGTTCTCACTTCAGAAAACAATAAAAAATTGGGGCAAGTTTCTTTCGGACGTGTCAAAGCGTTTGTGCATCAAGTTTGTCCACCTTCAACCATAAACAGTTTTACTAATTGTATGATATTGTTAAACTATTTGTTCGTTTATAGAAAAGTATTATCGCCATTGTAATTGTTTTTCTAAACTTCAAGACATAGAACTTAAACTATAAGTCCACGCCGAAGCGAAACGAGCATAGGGCACTACCTTATATCTATATATATAAAACTCAAAGGTGACTGACTGACATAGTGATCTATCAACGCACAGCCCAAACCACTGGACGAATCGGGCTGAAATTTGGCATGCAGGTAGATGTTATGACGTAGGCATTCGCTAAGAAAGGATTTTGATCAATTCTACCCCCAAGGTGATAAAATAGGCAATGAAAGTTTGTATGAAACTTTGTCAATTTTAAACCGATCAGGCTGAGTCTTTGCATGCAGGTATAAGCAGAATCATAGATGAATGTCATTGTGTATAATACAAGCCTGGGAACAAACACTGTAGTCTACACTTCAGCTCTACACCGAAGCGAAGTGAGGGCGGGCCGCTAGTCATTAATAAAAGACTATCGGACGATACGATAAGAGAGATAGGGCATAGCAGATTTCCCGCTCGAATTGGGGCGCCCGCTTGGGGAGGTAACTTCCACCTTACAGAAGACCACAGTAAAATCATCATCATCATCAGCCTATTAATGTCCCCACTGCTGGGGCACAGGCCTTCCCTGTGGATGGAATAGGGAGATTGGGCCATGACCCACCACGCGGGCCCAGTGCGGATTGGTGGGTGCTAACGACTGCAGATGCAGCCGGGACCAACGGCTTAACGTGCCTTCCGAAGCACGGAGGAGCTCATGTTATTAAATTTTTGGTCACCCATCCATTGACCGACCACTGCGGAAGTTGCTTAACTTCAACGATCGCAGCCGAACGCGCTAACCACTTGCGCCATCGAGCTCACAGTAAAATAACACTCCGTTTTGTTGGTTTGTGTATCTGTAGGTGAGTGAGGTTCCAGGTCTCCACGGGGTAGGGGTTTGGTGTCAGGGTAGGCAACAGTGCTACTAATATTTTTTGTATTGCAAGCGTCTATAGGCTATGGATGGATATTGAGGAGCTCGAAGGCGCAAGTGGTTAGCGCGTTCCGCTGCGATCGTTGAATTTAAGCAACTTTCGCAGTGGTCGGTCATTGGATGGGTGACCGAAAATTTTCTATCTCGAGCTCTTCCGCGCTTCGGAAGACACGTTAGCCCTTGCTGAGTTTCTTGCCGGTTCTTCTCAGTACAAGGTCTCCCGCCGTAGATTTACGAACCGATGGCGTAGCTTCTAGACATTCATATGTGCTTGTAACAGCCTAAACTGAATAAATGATTATTGAATTGAATTGAATTGTTAAGCCGTTGGTCCCGGCTGCATCTGCAGTCGTTAGCATCTAACATCCCGCACTGGGCCCGCGTGGGGGGTCATGGCCCAATCTCCCTATTCCATCCATAGGGAAGGCCTGTGCCCCAGCAGTGGGGACATTAATAGGCTGATGATGATGATAGGCTATGGTGGCCGCTTATCAGGCGAGCCATATGCATGTTTTTTGCCACCCTAGAAACATAAAAAACACCCGTCTATAACAATTCCAATTTATTAATTCCAGAGAAAAAACAAGAAAGAAAAAACTGCCAATTGAACCATCTCAAGCGAAGAAGCATAAACCGTCGACAGATGGCAGCACGATGGCGCCAGAAGAGGAAGAAGACGCCATCTTTAACTTGCTGCGAAGCACAGAGAAGCAGAAGAAGAAGCGCGAGAAGAAGAAAAAGGAGAAGAAGGCGAAGAGTGTGTTCCATAATGCGTAGAATAAATGATGCAGACATTTTTTGATTTTTATTTATGAATTTAGAATGTTAAATCATCCTCATCAGGAAAACGGGTCATAAACGGGATGTAAACGAGAAACCAAATAGTACTTTTTTCATCATTATGAAGTAAATTTCATCAATTTCACGAACAATTATCGAATTCGAATAGTTTGCGAGTACGAAATGTCATTGTCAAATTTTGTATGGAAACTTGAAAGCCACAATGGACGTAACTAAAAATCAGTACCCTTAGTACGAGTTTTACAATTCTGGCACTCGTACTAAGGGTACTGAGTTTATTGTTTTCGTTTCAATACAAATAAACAGTGTTTAAATTCGTGAGCGTCAGAATGGCCGGTCACTACCCATATTTTACATCGAAATAATTATAGAAAGTTGCTACCTAGTTGCTACTAATCGTTAAATAGTTGCTACCCCCGATTAAAACAAAATAAACTACTTTTTAGGGTGACCAGCCATTCTGATGTCAGAATGGCTGGTCACCTATCCAGTGAGAACAAACTGCGTAACTAAATAGAGATTTTTTTAAAGCAATAGTTGCTACTAGGTTGCTATATTATATATATATATTGCTAGGTTGTTCTATCATTAAATCATTTGCGTCTTCTTAAATTTTAAGTACATTTGGTCAGTTTTCACCAAAATGTACAAAGAAACATAATTTACAATTACGAAAATTATGATAGTTTTCATGAGCACAAACTTGTACTAAGGGTACTGATTTTATTGTTTTCGTTTCAATACAAATAAACTGTGTTTAAATTCTATTATTAAATCATTTGCGTCTTCTTAAATTTTAAGTACATTTGGTCAGTTTTCACCAAAATGGACAAAGAAACATAATTTACAATTACGAAATGGTAATTGACAGGGTATATTATACTACACAAGAGTTTCTTAGTGACACTTCTTTGAAAGAAATGGACTACATTACCTAATTAAATAATATTTTTAGCCTATTATAGCACAATTTATTATTATTATTATATATTTTTAGTTTGACATAGAAATATTGCTTAGTAATTGTGACATAAACATATTTTGACATTTATTTCTAACTATGACTTGTTTGATTGTAATTGTAATATAATAATTTTGATTTTTATTTAATTGTAAACCTGATTATTACTTAAAAAATATTGAATACCTTGTAATAAGGCCGAAATGTAGTGACACTAAACTTTTTACCTAACACCAAATTGCTGTACTAACCTACATTACACAATAAATCATTTGAATTTGAAAATTATGATAGTTTTCGTGAGCACAAACTTGTACCAAAGGTACAAGTACACTTTTGACAGTGGCATTTCGCACTATTTTATATATTGGTTCTGCTAAGAGCACCGATCGCAATAAGTATACACAACGCCCCTCATTTTTTCTGGGTATCTTACTGTCCACCTCATGGCCTGCAGCGCCCACAAAGGGGCGTTATCGTCCACATTGTAGCATTGCATTGTTTAACAAAGTTCCCCAAGATCTGATTGAGCTTCCACTGACTAAATTTTAATCTCAGATCAAAAATACTCTTATGAATAAGGGCTATTATAAAGTTGATGATTATCTAAATGATCGTAATGCATGGACATAGTGTTTCTTATAATTTGATATTAAATGGGTATTAGTCATTTTTCATAACAGTAATATTGCACCTATCTAATGCCGCTTCCTATATACTACAAATAATGTTAACTATAAAATTAATTGTAACTATATATTTATATTCTAGATGATGTAATGGAAAGTGACTTCAGACGTATTTCTGAAGTAATTTTTCAACTTGACGACACTGTATATAACAATACAGGGAGAAAAAAACAGCCCTTGCTAAGTTTCTTCTCAGTACAAGGTCTCCCGCCGTAGTTTTGTGAACCGATGGCGTAGCTTCTTGACCTTCACAAGTGCTTGTAACAGCCTAGACTGAATAAATGACATTTCATTTCATTTCATTGGGAAAGGCTGATATAGATCCTTGTCGTATTGTCACGTGCTTTCCGAAGAATGGAGGTCGAGATAATCAATTTTTGATCACCCATCCTGACCGGTCTTAGAGAAAGTTGCTCAAGGTCTTAGATCGCAGATTGAACGCAATAATAATTGCATTACTGCGTTATGTAGTTCCTTATGTAAACTTGTGGCGAAGTAATAAAAGCTGTACTTTAATAATTATTATAAGTTTATTTATTTACAAAAATAATATTCAAACGTTAGGTACCTTATGTTAATTCTATTAAGGTCAGTTAGAATATTCAACCCCCAGTAAAAGGTGAGGATAATCTGGTTCCGTTTATAAGCAACAGTTACTATAATTAAAAAAAAACGACGGGTTGCACTCCGGGAGTGCCGGCGGAAGTGAAAACTCGAATATTAACGTTGTGCATTTTTGATATTTTGGAATGGTTAGGGAATTTCCACATTTTAAACACTTTGTATACTCGAATTTTACGAATACACAGCAGTGTGGCCACTACACAGACGGTCGAGTCATCAGCTGTCACCATCCATGGATGCGCGTGGCACAGTGTTACCAACCCTTACCAAAATTTACCCCTAAGTATTTTTTAAATTCCCCTAAAATCCCCTAAATATTCAATTTTTAAGTACCTACTTATTATCCAAATTCTTTCGTTGCTCATAAATTAAAACGTTACTTAATTAATTACAGTAAATTATTTTATTGAATAAATACAGTTTCCGAAAGGACAATCAAATGAAAATGAGCTGACGGACTGTTAAATCTTATTTAGTTGTTTTTTTAACTTTAGTCCATGCAGCCTTAGGAAACAACCCGCCACACAGTCAGTTCAGTCGTTTCATATCGTGATGCGTTCCATTCTACGCACAAAGCTGAAAGAAAACATACGCTTTGTTTTTCGATTTAATTGCAAGTTTTGGTAAAAGCCCCTAAAAGAACCCCCAAAAAATTCTAGCCCCTAAAAAAAGTCCGTTTTAACACTTCTAATCCCTAAATCTGGGGGCAAAACCCCTAAGTTGGGAACCGTGGCGTGGCACGCTGTAACATAAACACACACGAACATTCGCGCAAGCGCCCTGCGCCGCCTAAACGAAACAGCAGGCGCAGGCATACATTTTCGCCGCGCCGTAGAAAGAGAGAGAAAGTCTCTTTTCGAAAGACTAGTCTTTCTAAGGTAGCTCGACAATTTTAAATAAAAAATCATTATTCTGACGATGCAGACCTGAAAAGGCTGCGAAACGTCAATAAATAAATAAAGTTTCGTGCATTAACCCGTAAAAACGAGTTTTATTAACTGCTAGATGTTTAAATCTAAAGAAAAGTTTACTAGAAAAAAATCCACGCGGACCAGGCAGCGGACGGGACTCGATAATGGTCAGTGCATTCGCCCGGATAGCGAAAGATGCGGGTTCGAGTCCCGTCCGCTGCCTGGACCGCGTGGATTTTTATTCTAGTAAACTTTTCTTTAAATAAAGGTTTTTATTTTTTACTTTTCGCCAGTTTATTTTTTTTGTTAAAGTTTTTATTTTACAATTTCTTGTGACTATAATTTTTGTAATATCCTACAACTCAGCATCAAAATCTGTGAGTGAACAATTACCCCTATTATCTTACCCTTAGGATAGATTTTTTTTAATCTATTAAATTATATCAAATTAATTAAAAAAAAATGGTTGCCTGTAAAGTCGGTTTTACGGGCGAAGATTTTACGTGACAACGTCTTTTTCTCGGTAGAATATTTATTGATATGAATATAATTAAATTGCACAATAGGAACAAGGAATTGAATGAAAATAAGAATTGCACAAATTTTAACTATAGAAATATATTTTGTTTACTAAAACATTGTACATGTAAACTTAAACTTAACACGAGAGACTCATCGTAACGTTACCGAGCGTTACACTTTTTCATAAGTGACTCCCAGCCGCAACCTAATTTAAGACGTTGTCACGTCAAAAGAATGATCAAAACGGAAAATACTCTGTAAAAAGTAATGTAATGACTAGAGAACATCCTGGTTTTTACGTCAGTTAAAAAACAGCGTGTGTACAGAGGTCCCATGTCAGAAGTGAAACGAACTTTCATAAGAATAATTATAAAAATATATATTTACGTGTTTTAAATTATGCATAATTATGCATAAAAATTTAATAATGTTATCTGATATTTCATTAGTATACGTACGTACATGGTATGTAAGTTTTTTTAACAGATGGCGCTGTTCATACTTCTACATCACCGTATGGTTTGGTATAACAGCCTTGATACAAAGAAGAATATTAAAATTGAGCACTGGTATACAGGGCGTCCTACGGCTACCTCACACGGAGGGGAAAGTATACTAAATATTGAAGATAGGATATTTTACTGAAAATGTAGAGGTGCGTCGTCAACGTATTTTTCGTCGACGAAACGCAACCGTTTTTTCTTAAACGAAAACTAGCCCTCGAAACGGTTCTCGTTTGCAACTGGTTTTGGTTTCGGCCGGGAGACACCACGAAACGACACGTGACGGTCGAACGAATGTAACGCAACGAAACTGAAGTAAATGAAATCTTGTTAAACATCGAAATTAATGTAGTGTTATACGATAATCGACTTTAAATGCTCAATAATAAAGATTATATTATTGTAAAATCAAAGCTTAATTATCATAGAACGAAACGGCCTCATATCATTGCGTTCTATTATAGACTGTATTTACTTCGGCATAAAGTACATATTGGCGTGGAGACAATCCGAGGATTAGTTGTTCGACGAAGACTGTTTTGATCCGAAACGTAAAACGGTTCTATCGTCGCGGAACACAAAACGGTCCTTGAAACCGGTTCGTCTTTAGAAAGCTCACATCTTACGTCCACTACCGTCCATCAACTAGTTGAATTCTTCGACTATTTAACGTGATAATGGGTTTTTTTCTTAAATACAAACCTAGTATATAATAATCATGTTAATTGACATATAATTTTATTTTTATTGACATATTTATTAATTTTAATTATTGACAAATT